AGTAAAAATCATTTCCAATGCATTTTCATAGTAAAAATCATTTTCCAATGCATTTTTCATAGTAAAATCATTTCAATGCATTTTCATAGTAAAAATCATTTCCAATGCATTTTCATAATAAAAATCATTGGTCAATGCATTTTCATAATAAAAATCATTGGTCAATGCATTTTCATAATAAAAATCATTGGTCAATGCATTTTCATAATAAAAATCATTTTCAATGCATTTTCATATAAAAAAAATCATTTTCATAATAAAAATCATTGGCGAATGCATTTTCATAATAAAAATCATTGGTCAATGCATTTTCATTAAAAATCATTTTGCATTTTCATAATAAAAATCATTTCAATGCATTTTCAAATTAAAAATCATTTCAATGCATTTTCATTAAAATCATTTTCAAATTTTTCATAAAAATCATTGGTCAATGCATTTTCATAATAAAAAATCATTGGCCAATGCATTTTCATAATAAAAAATCATTTTCAATGCATTTTCATAATAAAAATCATTTGGTCAATGCATTTTCATAGTAAAAATCATTTTTCAATGCATTTTCATAATAAAAATCATTTCCAATGCATTTTCATAATAAAAATCATTTCAATGCATTTTTCAATGCAATGCATTTTCATAAAAAAATCATTGGTTTCAATGCATTTTCATAATAAAAATCATTGGTCAATGCATTTTCATAATAAAAATCATTTCAATGCATTTTCATAGTAAAAATCAATGCATTTTCATAATAAAAAATTTCAATGCATTTTCAGAATAAATAAAAATCATTTTCAATGCATTTTCATATAATAAAAATCATTGGTCAATGCATTTTCATAGTAAAAAATCATTTCAATGCATTTTCATAATTCATTGGTCAATGCATTTTCATAGTAAAAATCATTTTCAAATGCATTTTCATAATAAAAATCATTGGTCAATGCATTTTCATAATAAAAATCATTTCAATGCATTTCATAATAAAAATCATTTTCAATGCATTTTCATAATAAAAATCATTTCAATGCATTTTCATAATAAAAATCATTTTCCAATGCATTTTCATAATAAAAATCATTGGCCAATGCATTTTCATAATAAAAATCATTTCAATGCATTTTCATAATAAAAATCATTTCCAATGCATTTTCATAATAAAAATCATTGGTCAATGCATTTTTATAATAAAAATCATTTTCAATGCATTTTCATAATAAAAATCATTGGTCAATGCATTTTCATAATAAAAATCATTTTCCAATGCATTTTCATAATAAAAATCATTTCAATGCATTTTCATAATAAAAATCATTGGTCAATGCATTTTCATAATAAAAATCATTTCAATGCATTTTCATAATAAAAATCATTGGTCAATGCATTTTCATAATAAAAATCATTGGCCAATGCATTTTCATAATAAAAAATCATTTTCAATGCATTTTCATAATAAAAATCATTTTCAATGCATTTTCATAATAAAAATCATTTCAATGCATTTTCATAATAAAAAAAATTTTCATTGCATTTTCATAATAAAAATCAATGCATTTTCATAATAAAAATCATTTCAATGCATTTTCATAATAAAAATCATTTTCAATGCATTTTCATAATAAAAATCATTTCAATGCATTTTCATAATAAAAATCAAAATCATTTTTCAATGCATTTTCATAATAAAAATCATTGGCCAATGCATTTTCATAATAAAAATCATTTCAATGCATTTTCATAATAAAAATCATTTCAATGCATTTTCATAATAAAAATCATTGGCCAATGCATTTTCATAATAAAAATCATTTCAATGCATTTTCATATAATAAAAATCATTTCAATGCATTTTCATAATAAAAATCATTTTTCAATGCATTTTCATAATAAAAATCATTTCAATGCATTTTCATAATAAAAATCATTTTCAATGCATTTTCATAATAAAAATCATTTCAATGCATTTCATAATAAAAATCAAAAATCATTTTCCAAATAAAAAATCATTTTCCAATATTTTTCATAATAAAATCATTGGCCAATGCATTTTCATAATAAAAATCATTTCCAATGCATTTTCATAATAAAAATCATTTCAATGCATTTTCATAATAAAAATCATTTCAATGCATTTTCATAATAAAAATCATTTCAATGCATTTTCATAATAAAAATCATTGGTCAATGCATTTTCATAATAAAAATCATTTTCAATGCATTTTCATAATAAAAATCATTTCCAATGCATTTTCATAATAAAAATCATTGGCCAATGCATTTTCATAATAAAAATCATTTTCAATGCATTTTCATAATAAAAATCATTTCAATGCATTTTCATAATAAAAATCATTTCAATGCATTTTCATAATAAAAAATCATTGGTCAATGCATTTTCATAATAAAATCATTGGCCAATGCATTTTCATAATAAAATCATTTCCAATGCATTTTTGCATTTTCATAAAAATCATTGGTCAATGCATTTTCATAATAAAAATCATTTCAATGCATTTTCATAATAAAAATCATTGGCCAATGCATTTTTCATAATAAAAATCATTGGTCAATGCATTTTCATAATAAAAATCATTTCCAATGCATTTTCATAGTAAAAATCATTTCCAATGCAAATAAAATCATTGGTCAATGCATTTTCATAATAAAAAATCATTTTTCAATTTTTAAATAATAAAAATCATTTCAATGCATTTTCATAATAAAAATCATTGGCCAATGCATTTAAAATAATAAAAATCATTCCAATGCATTTTCATAATAATAAAAATCATTTCAATGCATTTTCATAATAAAATCATTTCCAATGCATTTTCATAATAAAAATCATTTTCAATGCATTTTCATAATAAAAATCATTGGCCAATGCATTTTCATAATAAAAATCATTTCCAATGCATTTTCATAGTAAAAATCATTTCAATGCATTTTCATAGTAAAAATCATTTTCAATGCATTTTCATAATAAAAATCATTTTCAATGCATTTTCATATAATAAAAATCATTTAATAAAAATGCCAATGCAAGTTCATAAAAAATCATTGGCCAATGCATTTTCATAATAAAATCATTTTCAATGCATTTTCATAATAAAAATCATTGGCCAATGCATTTTCATAATAAAATCATTTCCAATGCATTTTCATAATAAAAATCATGGCCAATGCATTTTCATAAAAAAAAATCATTTCCAATGCATTTTCATAATAAAAATCATTTTCCAATGCATTTTCATAATAAAAATCATTTTCAATGCATTTTCATAATAAAAATCATTGGCCAATGCATTTTCATAATAAAAATCAAAATTTCCAATGCATTTTCATAATAAAAATCATTTTCCAATGCATTTTCATAATAAAAAATCATTGGCCAATGCATTTTCATAGTAAAAATCATTGGCCAATGCATTTTCATAATAAAAATCATTGGCAATGCATTTTCATATAAAAAAATCATTTTCCAATGCATTTTCATAATAAAAATCATTTCAATGCATTTTCATAATAAAAATCATTTCCAATGCATTTTCATAATAAAAATCATTGGCCAATGCATTTTTATAATAAAAATCATTAGTCAATGCATTTTCATAATAAAAAATCATTTTTTATAATAAAAATCATTTCCAATGCATTTTCATAGTAAAAATCATTTCCAATGCATTTTCATAGTAAAAATCATTTCAATGCATTTTCATAATAAAAATCATTTCAATGCATTTTCATAATAAAAATCATTGGCCAATGCATTTTCATAATAAAAATCATTTCCAATGCATTTTCATAATAAAAATCATTGGCCAATGCATTTTCATAATAAAATCATTTCCAATGCATTTTCATAGTAAAAAATCATTTCAATGCATTTTTATAAAATCATTTCCAAAAATCATTTCAATGCATTTTCATAATAAAAATATTTTCAATGCATTTTCATAATAAAAATCATTTTCAATGCATTTTCATAGTAAAAATCATTTCCAATGCATTTTCATAATAAAAATCATTTTTCAATGCATTTTCATAAAAAAATTTCATAGTAAAAATTTTAAATGCATTTTCATAATAAAAATCATTTCAATGCATTTTCATAATAAAAATCATTGGCCAATGCATTTTCATAATAAAATCATTGGCCAATGCATTTTTATAGTAAAAATCATTTCCAATGCATTTTCATAATAAAAATCATTTTCAATGCATTTTCATAATAAAAATCATTTGCAATGCATTTTCATAATAAAATCATTGGCCAATGCATTTTCATAATAAAAAAAAATTTCAATGCATTTAAATATAATAAAAATCATTTCCAATGCATTTTCATAATAAAAATCATTTCCAATGCATTTTCATAATAAAAAATCATTGTCAATGCATTTTCATAGTAAAAATCATTAGCCAATGCATTTTCATAAGTAAAATCATTTCAATGCATTTCATAATAAAAATCATTTCCAATGCATTTCATATAAAAAATCATTTAATGATGCATATAAATATTAAAATAATAAAAATCATTTTAAAATAAAAAGCATTTTATAGTAAAAAATCATTTCAATGCATTTTTCATAGTGAAAAAATCATTTTCAATGCATTTTCATAGTAAAAATCATTAGATAAATGCATAAATAAAAAAATCATTGGTCAATGCATTTTATAGTAAAAAGATAGAAATAATTTGCCCATAAAAAAGATAGAATGCAAAAAATGTAAAAATTTCATTATGTATTTTATAGTAAAAATGATTTGATATTTATAGATATAAAAATCATTGATCATGAAAAGATAGAAATTTATAATAGATTTCATTGATAATTTTCACGTTTAAAAGTGAGATATTTTTGAAGAATTTTTCATATGATAGAAAAAAAATTAAAAACATAGATAAAAATAAAGATTTAAAATTCAAAATAAGCATATTTAGATAGAAAGAAATAAAAAAATTAAAGCAAAATAGATAGATAAGATAGATATCATAAAAATGCATTTATAGATAGATAGATAGATATTTTGTACAAAAAATTAAAAATGCATAGATAATGAAAAAAAAAATATTTTCTCGCCTGGTTTAAAATAATAAATGACATAATACATTTAAAAAGATGATAGAAAAAGTAATTAAAATGCATTTTCATAGATAAAAATTGCTCATAAAAAATTTTTTTCTATAAATAGATATTTCAATGCATTTTTTAATAGATAAAATTTTTAGATAATGCATTTTATAATTCAAAATCATTAGATAAATTTTTTCATAGTCTAATTTAAAAATTTTTTTCATAAATAAAATGACATAATATTTTTAAAAAAATAGACTGGATTAAATACATAAAAAAAGATTTAATGCATGTAAAAAATAAAAAAAATTTTAAATATAAGAAAAATAATTTAATAATGCATTTTCAAGATGTTATAAAAAATTTTCATTTTTAAATTTCAGGTTACAAATTAAAACCAGATTTTAATATTAAAAAATAGATTGACCAATGCATTTCATTATTAAATAAAATAGATGATTTCCTTAAACATTTTGTTGCTTTATTAAATATAAAAAATCAAAATATTTTAAAAGTAAATTTTATTTCAATGCATTCAAAAAATTTTTCAATAAAAACATTTATAATGATAATTTAAAAACTTTTTTAGGTCTTTTATAGAAAATTTCAAAATTTTAATTATCATTTAAAGTTAAAATGGAAAAAAATTTTCATTACATTTCATAGTTGAATTTTCCATAAATTTCATAATAAAAATAAAGCCAATGCATTTCGTTTGAAAATAAAAAGATTCCAATGCATTAAAAATAAAAAACATTCTTGTTTTCATATCAAAAATGGATAATTATTTTTATTTAATAAAAGAATGCTATACAAATCTTATTGACAATCAAATCAAAATTTTAAATGGATAAAAAATCATTATCAATTCTTATTTAGAAATCTAAAAAAATTTCAAAATGATAATTCATATTAAACTTGGAATGTAAAGGTATGTTTTTCCATTAGCCAATTCATTTTCATCAAAAATCATTCCAATGCATTTCAAATTAAAATCATTTACAATGCCCACATAATAAAAACATTCCAATGCATTTTCACTCAAAAATCAAAAAAAAAAATAAATTTTAATGCAATTTCAAAAAATAAAAATCATTTTATAAAAAATTTTAAAAATTAAAATCAAGAATGCTTAAAATAGTAAAAATCATTTTTCAATGCATTTTCATATATAAAAAATTTCAAACATTTATCATAAAATCATTTCAATTTTTTTAATTAAAAATCATATACCAATGCATTTTCATAAAAAATCATTCATCAATAATTTTCAAAAAAAATCAGGGAAAATGGATTTTTCCAGGAAAATAAAAATTATTGTTTAAATTCATTTCAATAATTAAAAATACATTGGGTCAGGGCATTTTCAAAAAAAAAATAATGGGAATGCAAAAGATATAGTAAAAAGATTCAGGCAATGCATTTTTCATAGTAAACCCACATTTCCAATGCATTTTCAAAGTAAAATCAAAAATGCATCAATTATTAATCTTCATTTTCTTTCCTTTTCAGTTAATTCCTTAAAATAATTTTTCATATGATTTCGATTTGTGAAAAGTTAAAATCAAATTTTTGTTATTGGAAAAAACATGAAACTATTATTTTCAAAGCAAATACAAAAAACAAATCAAGAACCATAAAAATCATTTCAAATTTTTTCAAATAAAAAATCATTTTGCATTGAGCCATCAAATAAAAATCATTCCAGAAATTTTAAGATAAAAATTTAATAATTTTAAACTAATTAAAAATAGCATTCATTTTTTAATTTTTAAAACGTCTTTTTAATTAAAAAAATTTTTTTTTGCATTTCATTTAAAAAGTTATTTAATTTGGAACAAAGAAATTAATAAAAAAATAAAAATCTTAAAATCATTCAATTATTTTCCATTTAAATCATTGAAAAAAAATTTTCAAATTAAAAATTTCGTTTAAAAATCATTTCAATGCATTTAAATATTAAAATTTATTTCAATGCATTTTCATAATAAAAATTTGTTAAAATTAAAAAAATTGTAGCTTTTTTTGTAAATTCAAAACACAAGTATATTAAAAGAGATTTCAATGTTATTTTGTTTTTTCAAAATCTATTTTCAATATTTTCTTTCATAAACTTAAAATCATTACCAATGTATTTTCACCAATTAAAAATTAACAGTTAAAGAAAAAAATATTCACATTTCAATTTATAAAGGAAAATCATTTCCAATGCATTTTCATTAATGTTATTGTATTTTTTTGAAATTTTTAAAAAATTTTCCAATTTATTTTTAGTAAATTTCATTAAAAATTTATAGTAAAAAAAACATTGGTTTTCATAATGTCTTCAAAACATTTCAGTTCAACATTGATTATTCTATATACCATTTTGACACATCATTTCAATAAAATCATTTCATCAACATTTTTAAAAAAATCTGAATGCGTTTTCATTTTCCTATAAATCATTTTTAGTAAAATCATAAAAAAAAAATTTTGGAAAATAAAATATAGGTTATTATCAATGCATTTTATTTTTAAAATTAAAATTGATTTTCGGAAAATTAAAAAATCATTTGAATGTTTTGAATGGATGTAAAATAAAGAAATATTTTTCAGAATCTGCATTTTGGTATTAAAGTCCAATGATCATTTTCGTTTAAAATCATTTTGAAAAAGCATTTTAAAAATCATTTGACAATTATTTAAAAGGATAAAATCATTTCCAAATTTTCAAGTATTTTTCCAATGCATTTTAAACAAAAAAACATTTTTGTTCAAAATGCATTTTTCTTAAACATTTTTCAAAAATTTTAAATCAATTTTCGGTTTTTTTGCCATTAATAGTCTTATCATTTAAAATTTATATTTTCATTTTTAAAATTTTTTCAGTAAATTTTAATTATATTGTAAAAACCATTTAAATGTTATTGTAGTAAAAATCATTTTTATTTTTTTCAAATTTTTAAACATTTAAAACATTGGTTTAATAAATGTGGGAGGAGAAACGTCAAATTTTATTGAAAACTTTCCAACAATTTTTATTGAAAAAAAAAAATTTCAATGCATTTTTCCATATATCTTTCCATTGGTCAATTTGTGCTACTTTTTCATAGTTGAATAATTGTCCAGATGCCTTTATTAAAATAATCAATTAGAAGAGAAAAGTTTTAATGTTTTTTTATTATAAATTAAAAATTTTTTTATTTATTCATTAGAATGAATAAAAGTTTTGGCATATTTGTTTTACATCCTACCAAACAAACTCAAAAACAATAGTAAAAAAACATCCTGCCAAAGAAATTTAAAAATGTTTTCCTTATTTTCTTCTTTTATCAATCTGAAATGGACACTGTTCTTTTTTTAAACAAAATTTTTTTGAGAAAAATTTTTTTCCAGATTGAAAGAAATCAGTTTCTTTTCTTTTCACATCTTTTAATTATAACGTCAATGGGGAAAAATTTGGACAATTAAAAAGATTCTATTTTCATTTCTTTTATGTTTTAGAATTATTCTTTATTTTCTTTTTGTTTTATTTCTTTTTTTTCTTTATTAAAATTATTATTATTATTTTTATTTTCTTTGATTTCTGGCGTTTACACATTTCTTTCCGGGTCCCGCCCAGGGACCTAAGGTTAGAAATGGCATCATGACACTTTCCACTGACAAAAAAAAAAAAATTACATAGATAAAGCCCTTCGTAAAGTGTGGGCTGTACTTGTCAGAACAATTTTTTGTATCTCTTTGAGGCATGGACTTCCAGGAATCCCTTCAATTAGTCTACTGCAATCTTTTCCAACCAGTCCTAGGGCTCCAACTACAACAGGGATTGTTGATGTTCCCATATGCCACATTTTCGAGATTTCTATTTCAAGGTCCTTGTATTTTGACAGCTTTTTGAATATCTTCAAAGATACATTGCAGTCAGCAGGGACTGCCATATCAATAAGGAGGCATTTTTTTTGTTTGTGGTCTTTAATAACAATATCTGGGCCGGTTGGCTTTGATTGTTCTGTCAGTGTGTATTGTGTAGTCCCATAGAATTGTAACAGGTCCTATCTCCGTAACCGGGTCTGGGTGGTGTTCATTTTCTTTCAGTTTCCTTCCCGTAGAAGTTACAGATTTTCCAGTGCAGATATTGGCCCACTCTGTCATATATTATTATTATAAAAATAACCAGAAGAGACAATTTAAGAAATTTAACCTTAAACAAAAAGAAAAGTAATTATAAGACTAAAAATGCTTAATATTTCGACATTATGTCACCCCTCTTCAAGCATTGTTTTTAAAAATGCATACAAGTATAGAAATATGTTTCAAAATTTACAAGTATTTTGTACAAACGTTAAAACCTTTTGAATGTTTGATGTATTTGTAATGTCGTGACAAAACGAGTGAAACTCACCTCGTATGTATGGAATGCAACTGAAACGCGAATATTGACTGATTTTTTTTTTCACAGTCAACCAACCATTTTCAGATTATAAAAAGCCGGAAAATATTTTTAGATTGTAAGATTTTTTAAAGATAATAATGATTTTCTGATACAAGTCGTAATAATTAACCCATAGGTTGGGAGAGAAGAGGTGGATTAATATGTTACCAAGAATATTTGTGCATAAGAGGACATAACGAAAGCGACTGCAATTAGAACTAGGTTTCCCAATTCTGGGCCGTTAACTTATTTACACCAACCTGACGTCCAAGTTTACATCACTTGGTATTCCCAAGCGTTCATCCATCTAGGGACTGACCAATATTCTACGTTGCTTTTTATAAAATGAAAAAAAAAAGAACCGGTGTTTTAAATCTTTAATATGACTGGTAAACGATAATAATAGCACGTCCAATAATAGAAAGCATTGATAATAGTTAAAACCCATCCAGGTAACTGACCAACTCTAAGTAATTTAAATTCGGGAATTTAATGTAAAAGAATCGGTGTTTCAACGATATGACCGTAAAAATAAACAAAACTGGATTTATATTTTAATTACCTGTTATTCCCTAGAGGCTGTCCTCCTAGGCACTGACCAGATACTGTAATATTCAGAGCATTATTTTAGATTGAAGTGATGATCATCTAGAATGTTATGCTTTCATTGTATCTTCCAATATCTGATCTCTAAAGTGGTTGACAGTATACTTCAATTTTCACAGCATTTTTATTTTAATGATAATAATTAGATAAAACGAATGTAGTTATATGTCTAAATTTGAATTGCGTCCACCGATGATTATTGTGGCCCTTCGATGGTTAGGGACTGTCCCTGAAAAAAAAAATATTTTAATGACTATTTTTGATTTATTTCAAAGCCCTTATTGTAATTTTTACATATTATTTCTTGAATTCTCTTTCATTAGCTTCGTGTCATCCAAACGTAGAGCCCCGATGGAAGACGCCTTGTGACATACTAGACAATTAGTCACTTTTTATCTGCTCCTTATGCACCTGGTTCCTTATTCAGACTGACTGCCAACAAACTGCTACCCATTTTGTAAAGTGCTACCCTTTAGCAGTCGCTTGACACCCGCACACACGCAATTCATTTTTTTTATGATGAAAAGCATCGGATTATCGTACTACCAAGCAAGACAAGATGGCGGAAAATTAGACCCAACTTTCGATGTTTGCATTTCTCGGCTAATTTATTTGCTTAGATCATGTGTATTTGCCCCGGACCAACACGTCACTTGTGCGGGTGTGTAGAACACGCTATTTTAAAGAGAAAGGAGAGGGGGTCGTTCCCCCCGATTTTTTTTTCTTTTCTTTTAATTTAGACAAAGAATAGATGAAGAATGAGAAAGAGATAGAAAAGGTTGTTCGCTGTTGGGTTTTTTTTTTCATCTTTTTTTTTATTTTGTATTTTTTCTTACTTTTTTTTGTTTTTGTTTTATTTCCTACTTTTCTTTATTTTGTACATTTTTTTTTGCCGGGGGTGAGGGGGGGCAGTTCTAGGCACCTGACGCGAGTCGACACTCTTCTGACATATAAACCAGTCCCCTTTGCCATTGTGCTGTCAAATCGACACAATCACTCGGGTGTTTTAAAGAAAAAACGAAACAATACCAAATTGCAGTTTGCCTGTAAAAACCCAATTCGGCGACATCCGCATAAATCGACTAAACTGTAAAATTTTTCCAAGTAAGAACAAGATAATTTCTTTTAGAAAGATTTTATTTAGATTAAATGCCTAACTCTAAACCATGTTTAACAACTAGAATATAGAGGGCAACAGTAAACTTAAGATCCGTCCAATCCCAAACTTTTTCTGTGCAAACCCATAAAATTTACCAGAGCTGTGGCCATGTGGCACCCGGCTGAGTACCTCTGATCTAGATATAGATAGATATGAATAGACCGAGAAAACGATATATATGAAGGGTTTGAGAGAGAAACAGAGAGATGAAAAGAACGAGATAGATAGATAGATAGATAGATAGATAGATAGATAGATAGATAGATAGATATGAACAGACTCAAAAATTTCCAGTCTTCACATGCATCGCCTTGGTGTTTACATCGAGGATAATCTTCCGAAAAAAGGGAACTGTCTCTCGAGGTCGCCGACTAGCTCTTCTGAACGTACTTTTGAATTTACCAAACTCTGTCGGCTATCTCTTTTTCCTTTATCGCTCCCGCAATTCCCAAGACTGCAGTATATTAGACGCAATAGCTGACAGTCTATAAAAAAAGTAAATATTTCTCGTCATGCATCTGCAAATATCTTTTTTCGGCAAATTAATGATAATCACCACAATTTTGACTGATACATTCCAAAGGCACCGACATTGCCGGTATACAAACATTAAATTATTCCATTGCCTAACCCTTCTCTCAAATCGTGTACTTCCCTCCTCGTTTCCATAGCCAAACTGAGTAACATGTTTCTCTACTGGATCGATTTCTTATCTTCTTTCACTCATGCTCTTGCCAAGCTTCACAATACTGTAAAGGTAACTTGGAGGGCTTTATTTTAGTTTTGAGATGTTGTGAGTTTCCATTCGTGTCGGTGTATGAATCAAGACAAACACAGTTGTAGGTGAAAATACTGGTATATTCATAAAAGCAATTAACAATAGAGTGATTAGTAGAACGAAGGTTGGTTAGTACGAAACAATATCCAAAGTCTATAGTCCAACGGTATGTACCGGGTAAGCTTATCTGGACTGCTCACGCTGACTCTCTCTCTCTGACGCTCTGTCACTCTCTCTCCAGAGCTGACTTATATAAGAGGGACCAGTCCATTACTAGTTAGAAGGTGGGTGCGCCCCAACAGTAGCTATTGATATCTCCCTCCAAGCATCGAAGTTAAGCAACGTCCAGTCTGGTCAGTAGTACCTAGATGGGTGACCGCTTGAAATTTTGTGGTGGTGCAAAATTGGATTTTAAATACCAGATTGTTTGAACTCCTTCCCATTCGGAGTTATTGAAACAGCCTGTGACGAGTTGCAATTTTAGTTGGGAACGTTATATTCATTAACTCACAAAATCACTTGGGAAAGGTATAAATCCACCACTTTACCCCCCGCTATGGAAATTAATATTGTTTGGAATTTAAAACATTATTATCAAAAGGGAAAGAAAATTACAATTTATAAATATTTCATTTGCTTTAAATAATTTGAAAACATGTTGATAAGCCGTAAAAAAAAAATCAATCAGTCGATCAAGTCTTCTATTCATCCCGTAGGAATTTTGTTCGGTATTTATACAATTAATTAAATTTTCCAAAAAAATAAATCCTTCAATCAAATATTTTGTCAAAATGGGTCTCGACAACAGATGAGAAGCTAAACCGAGTAAAAATTCAAAGATGGATCGAAAACCAAAGATGATCGCTCTTTTGAATTTCAGAAATAAATGATATAAAATGGACCGCTTTGCAACAATTAATATCTTTCCAAGCATCCGTTAAAAAGAACCATGAATATTAAGACCTCTAAGGATTACCAGCACATTTTGAACGGAACTCGTTTGAACTTCTTAAGAAGAATAATTTAATCTTAGACTGGCATCCAAAGTTCATTTTTAGCATCCTCGTCCATCACACAAGAAATTATTTCCGGCTATACCAGCGCAAACATATTTCTCGTTTTAACAGGAAAAAATTTGATAATATTTGTAGCAAATTTAAAAAGATATTATCAAAAGGGAAGTCCCTGTAGATTTGGGAAAATGAGTTGACCTCACAGCCTCTAAAAACATTGGCTAACATTGATTACTGATAAAGAAACTGAAAGGGTAAAAAATTTTGAAAAGGTTGGACTCCAGAAATTAAAAAAACTATTTTATTCTTTAAATGAAAAAAAAAAAGAAAAGAAGAAAAAATTTGATATGCAATATTTTTGAAAAAAAAAACAAATAAAAAAAGAATAAAATGTTAAATAAAGAAAATGAAAAATTTAAATTATTAAAAAAGAATGTAAATGGAACAAAAAAAGAAAAAGATAGGATTGAATCATTTTAAAACAATTTTTAAAGATCAAAATATGAAATTACTAGAATAAATTGAAGGTAAATTAAAAAGAAGAAAAAAGAATAAGAAAAAACAATAAAGGAAAAAGTTTTAAAAGAACAAGAATTGAAGTTTGACAGAAGTTTTTGAAATTGACATTTCAAAAAAACAAGATCAAAGGCAATAAAAAAAGGAAAGGAGGTTAAGAAGTGTTAGAGAATATGAGAAAAAGAACTATTAAGGAGAGAACACGATAAAAGAACAAGAATTAATTATTTTCTTCGTGACGCCTCTTAGATTGACATCTTAAATTCCCAATTGAAAATTAGACAAAGTTATAAAAAATTTTTTTCAAATGTGAAAAAGCCGACATTAAGCTTCCATCCATTGATGGGAAAAAAACGGTGGAAACCACAATTCTTTATGGTTCAACTCAGCTCAATCGCCATTTTTTTTTTTTATTTCCGGTTAGGACCAGAGTGAATCTCTTGTCATAACAGGTGCAATTTGATACTGCTGTAGCAAAAATAAAAGAAAATTCAAAGGAAGATCCCCCAAAAAGAAAATTTGCTGAGAGAATGAGATAAGCATCGTCTCTAAAAACTTTGGCTCTCATGATTACTGATAAGTGGAAGGTCGCTATCCCTCCGTCTTCAATCGATTTGAGGTATTATCATTCTTCAGCTGAAAACAAGTTAAATTCTCTTTAAATTCTACTTCTGATCATCAAAGTATCCTGCCTAACAATTCATGAACTAATGATAGAAGTAATTCTCTGATGAGTGATAAATGTATGCACAAGCCCTTCCATGGTCTTTAATATCAAAAGCTTAATTTCTAAAAAAATTACAAAAAATTTGGGAAAAGAAATAGAAAAAATTTAATTATGAAATTCTCCTTTTATTTAAATAATTGTTCTATTAAACTGGCTCCTGTTCTTAAATGGCATCATTTATTTCTCCTGTATATAAAATGTCTCAAATAATTTAAATGTCTGGAAGTCATATTGTTGTTTTTTTTTTTAAAAACCTCAGGTGAATCGTCTAATCCAAAAAACTATGTCCTATTAAATATCCTTGGTTTTTTGGGGAAAAATATGAGGGCCCTAATCAATGTTGAATTGGTTCATCATCTCTCATCGCTTGGGTGTTTTTTCAGACAGTTAATATGGAAGATGTTTTTGTGAATGGTCAAATTGTTTGATGTAAAAACAATAATTGTGGAAAGAGTTATCATGCTCTAGATAATTTGGAAGAAAAGTTGGAAATTTTGTAGCATTGGACATCTCAAAACTTTTGACAAGTTCTTTGGCATCAGGTCTTTCCACAAGCTGAAACGTTACAGTATCTGTACTTTTTTTGAAAGATCCATTTCTTTTTAAATCAAATCATGAAATGAAATTTTATCCTGAAAAATAAAACTCGTCTACATCCTTTCGTTTTAACGCATTTGTCCCCATGGTTATATCCTTGGTCCTACTCTTTTTTTAATTTTCATTAAAAATCTTCCTGATGACATTAGATCTCAAAACATCTACGCTGACTGACTAGTACCGTTTATTCCTGCCTCGATGGTAAGGCTGATCAGTCAGACAAAGTCAAAATGGCAGAAAATTTAAAAAGTTTTCTCTTGGTTGTTCGTTAACGGAGGCAAAGGAACCTCAAAAACTAAACTTTTCTCCATTAATCAAATTATGAGAGGCTCCTCTCTGCCTTCCATCAGCATGTTCTGATGCTATCCTCCAGGAAAGTGACACGGATTGTTTTCTTGGGTTTTGAGTTCACGTGAAAAAATAAATGATAATTCTTCAATATGTATATTGAATCCATTGCTAAGTGGTTCACTGTAAGTTGGGTTTTTTTCTCTCCAGAATTTATCTTACATATCTATAAGTCTACCATTCGTCCATATTCAAAATATTAAATATGGTGAATAATACCCCTGCTATTTATCTTGAGCTCCTTGATAAAAAAAAAAAAGAATGAATCATCACTGGTTCCAAATCTGGTGGCTGCATTCAGTCACTTTTCACCGCCATAAGGTTGGATCAGTTTGCCTTTTTTATAAATACTTTCATGGTAATTGTTCAAATGAGCTCTTTGCTAATGGTTTGTTTCTTTTTAATTTAAGCTGCAGTACTAGACTGGCATCAAGAGTCTCATCAAATGTCAGTTGAGCTGGCTTTATGTAGCTGTAAGTTCTACTTTCAGTTTTTTTTTTTTTTTTTTTTGTTTCTTTCTTAAGTTTGATTACAGCCAATTTTAATCTAACAAAAATTTAAATGCAATGTCAATCATTCTTATCTAATTCCTCCTGATTACTCTTTCCTCTTATTAATGTTTTCTGTTCATATTTTAAGTTTTCTGTATCCCCTTAATTAGTTCTAGTATTTTTGTATTACCGCATTTGATGGGATGAGGTTTGATTGAAAAAAAAAAAGATAGATAGATGATTTGATAAACAGATTGAGATAGATATTATATTGAGATAGATAGATACTCAACATTTAACAGATTGAGATAGACATCCTTAAACTTTATTGAGATAGATAGATAGATAGATATCAATCTATATAAAAGATTGTTTATATATTAGACTGAGATAGATAGATAGTTAGATAGATAGATTTATAGATATTTAGATAGATAGATATTAACAGACTGAGATATATAGATATTATTCAATAGATAGATAGATAGATAGATAGATAGAGATAGATAGAAATGATAGAGTTTTAATAGATAATTAACAGACTGAAGATAGATAGATAGATAGATAGATAGATAGATTTTAGATAGCTTAAAAGATAAGATAGATAGATGTTTAACAGATTGAGATAGATAGATAGATAGATAGATAGATTTTCTGTGTTTTGAGATAATATTCCTAGATACCAAATGATAGATAGATAGATAGATATGAAGAGGCTTTTTAGAGATAGATAGATAGAATTAATTTTGAAATATGAAGAGGCTGAGAAGATAGATAGATAGATAGATAGATAGATTAGTAATATAGAAAAAAAACTGAGATAGAACAGAGCCATCTGAAAGATGATAGATAGAAGAGGCGAGAATTGAGATAGATATTATTAGATAGGATAGAAGAAAACTATATAGATAATGTCTTAATCACGAAATTTTTGATAATTCAATATTAGCCACAAGATAGAAACAGATCTCAACAACGTTAATAGGAAAAACAAAAAAGGAGGATAGAGGAACTATCATTTTTGGTACAAATGAAAACTTTAAGAAAAGATTAAACATAATTTTTATTGTAAAAAATGTATGGTCTTTATCAAAAATGGACAATGTCTACATGCATTACAAAATTTTAGCCCCCAAAGTAAGTCCGAAAATTGAAATATCTAATGGGTACTTTTGTCTCCTTCAAAGAGTTCATTGATGTCTTTGGAAATTCAAAAAAGTTTGAATGACAATGATGCAAAAAAAACATATTAAAAATGTCAAAAGACATATTACACATGAAAAAAAATATGGTCATTCAAAAATTTTTATTAAAACTTGATGTTGAAAAAACAATGAAAAATTCAAAATATTATTTTTATCGTATTTAAATATTATTAAAATATTTAAATATTAAACAGTACATTTATGGCTTCAATCAAAAGACAACTTTTTAAAATTTTATTTAAAAATGTATGTTCACTTAACAATATACTTAAAATATTAAATATTATTTAAATATTTAAATATTATTAAAATATATACTTAAAATTTACACAGCAAAAGACGCCTTCAAAAAGCTAAACAAAATGTATGCCATTTAAAATAAATAAATACCTTTAGCACGTAGCGTAATATTTTCTGTGTAATTTATGTTTTTATAATGCTCCTCCATTTTGTTAATGGACCTTTTCTGTTAATTCGACCCAAAATTAAAAATATATATATATTTATTAAAATTCACACCAAAATTCAGAAATGTCCAATAACATGGAAGCTCTTTTATCTATGAAGGAAGAATATTTACTTTCTTACATCATCATCATCATTTTCAGCATCCTTCGACTTTAATATGGTTGGTTGGAAAGCCCAAATCCCCAATGTTCATATTGAAACAAAAGTTATGGTGTCAGGAAAAGTCAATTTTTCATAAAAGACTTTCCAGAATGATGCCATATGATAAATTGGGATTTTTTCAAATGTTTTAAAAAAATGGATAGCAAATGGTAAAAATTAATCAATGGATGAAACCCTGGTGCAGTTAGTAGATTTTATAAAAAGGAACTAGATATTCCTATTACATCTAAATGGCAACACTGAGAAGTTCGGATATGAGGATATTTTAATTAAACCCAAAATAAAATAATTTATAGGTTTAAGGAATCACCAAAATTCAGAAATGATCTTTAAAATTCGTCCCAAAATGCATTCATTGTTATTTTTTGCCTTGCGTCTCCAAAAGAACTCACACAAATAAGATTCTGTTATGCTGCAATGAGTCCCACCACCTCTTAATTGTTGGTGTTCCCAGATCCACCCTGACCCGGAGTGGTAGCACCTATTAGGGTCCCACCTATGGGTAAATGATTAACCCCCAAACTGGAATCAAAACAATATGAAAGTGTAAAAATAGGTTTTAATACCAGAAATACTTTGTAAAAAAATTATTACCAGCAATAAATTTTTTGAGGAAAAAATGATTACCAGCAATACATATATATATATATATATATATATATATATATATATATATATATATATATATATATATATATATTTTTTTTTTTTTATTACCACACCAATCAAAATTGATTTAAATATAAAGCATCATATTTCCCATGTTATTGTTAAACTAGATACAAAAGTTCTCAGACTTCATGAATTTAAGCGTTCTAATAGGCTGGCATCTCGCTCACCCCCGTTCACTGTCGAAACTGTAAAATGTAGCTATCTCTTCTACTCCAATAGCTTCATGTTTCGCACCTCTCGCCTGTGGAACTCCCTCCCCTTTTCCTGTTTCCCTGATAGCTATAATCTCCAACTATTCAAATGTAATGTCAATCGACGTCTCCAGAAAATTTTGATCTATCCCCTATCCTTCTCTTCATCCTTTCCTCTATCACTCCTATTTACGCTCACTCCAACACTCTGTGCAGTAACCCCTTGCGTGCTAGTGGCTTCCCGCCTTGCTTGGGGTGAAACGCTTAAAAAAATTTGTTTAAGACAAAAAAGGGGGGGGATTTAAAGGCACCTTTCAGCTGACACTTCTTCAGAAAAATAATCATCGTCAGAATAAAACAAAGAAGTTGATAAGAAAAATTATTATCAACGACCGATGTTAAAAACAATAGATTACCAAGATGTAATAAAAGGTGGGAAATTAAAGTTAGAAAAAAATAACCTTATGAATACTAAATATTTTCTAGGTTAAGCGATAATCTCCCCAAATAGAACCAACCTGGATTTCATCTCCCTCTCTCTACACAGAGCGGGACGTTACATATTAATAATAATAAACTTCAATATATCTAAGTGGAGCCTCATCCTGGCCCTGCGTATGACAGGAAAAGAAATCAGGAGAATAATTTGTTTGTGGCAATCGACAGAATTTAAAAGGTGTTCCAACAATTTCTTTGATTCATGAGTCTGCAAATTAACATGTAATTGGTTCACTGTACAACACTTTAACCGGAACATGCTGGGCGATCCTCAAATCTGTATAATATTAATAAATATATATATATATATATATATAAATATATTAACAGTTATACATTTTTCTAAAAAAAATACCAGCTATACACTTTTTGAAAAAAATATTACCAGTGACACTTTTTTGAAGAAAAAATATTGCCAAAAAAAGATTTTTGAAGGAAAAAAAGTATTACCAGCAATAATTAAAAAAAAATATTACCAGGAATAAATAAAATGGTTGGCATTAAATAACCCATTGAGGTGTTGATATGCCAAAAAAACAGAACAAGCCAAACCAAAAAGCATTGTTATGTCTTCATTTATACAAAGTATCTTTCATTAAAAAGAAAAGGCTAATAATATCATTATCATTACCAATAACTGTGTCAGGCTAAGAATTTAGTGAAGCCTCGTATGGATTTTAACAAAAAGTGTCGCAGAAATTTAAATCAAATGAGGTGAACCTTTTTTTGAAAAATCATTTTTTTTAGAGACTGTGTCAGACTAGGTCAATCTTCTTAATTCATATGCGACGAAGTTGTAGGGGAAAGGCCAACGAACTCTTGTAGAACGCAACTGGAAGAATTGGAGAGTTCTTCATTAGTCGACACTGGAAAAGAAAGGATAAAATTGTTGAAATCGATAAAAAAAAGCAAGGAAAACCGGAAGAGAAAGAAAAGGAATCAAATGAAAGAACGAAAGAAAAATGAAAGAATGAAAAAATGAACGAAAATGGAAGAATGAAAAAATAAAAGAAAGAAAAATACAATAAAAAGATAAATAAAAAATAAATACGATTAAAATGATTTAAGAAAGAAAGAAAGAAAGAAAGAAAGAAAGAAAGAAAGAGACAGGTGCAAAAGAAAGAAAGAAAGAAAGAAAGAAAGAAAGAAAGAAAGAAAGAAAGAAAGAAAGAAAGAAAGGGACAGGTGTAAAAGAAAGAAAGAAAGAAAGAAAGAAAGAAAGAAAGAAAGACGCTCTGTAAAGTCCCTCTTAAAAGTTTTCATCATTTGTTTTTCCTCTCAGTCGTGGTTTTAAAAAGACGCCCTGCCAACCCACTTTGTTGCAATCCTCACACTGACGCCTGCCTTTCTTCCCGTATTCGGCGCAGCCCTCTTTTTGCTTCCAGTCAATGCCCCTGCAGCTCCACACGCCCTGGGAGGTCCGTCCTTTCCATGCCGTGCCGATTGGGCGATCTGTTTGAACAGCTAATAGCGCACATCGAAAGTGTCGGCCATTTCCGACGTTAATGTATAAGCAGAGAGGCGACATGTTTAGTCAGTAATTAATTGCTATTAAAAATCGGTGATTGGATTGTGACGGGTGGAGTTGGAGGGGTATAATCCCAGAACGACAAACTGAAAAGACGGAATATCAATTTTTGAGAGGTTCCTTTCTACATAAACAGCTTTTTTTGTAAAATAGAGTTTTAAATAAAAGAGAAAGGAAACTTTATAGAGAAAATGCATTACATCAATTTTTGTCATAATTCTATCTATTTACCCATCTAATGACATAGATAGATATTAAGATTCTAACATAGATATTCATTCCGTTCATTAGCATATAATCTATCTTAATATCTATCTATCTACAATTTCAATCCGATCTACATTTATTTATTATGATATCTATCTGGGAATATCTATCTCTTAGTTTAGATCTATTTGTCTATCTATATAATGCATAGATATATAACTATCTATCAATAGGATCTATCTATCTATCTATAAACCATTTCCTGATATCTATCTTTATTATAAATATTTATCTATCTATCTATTCATATATAGAGATCATATATAACTATAATGGGAGGAGATCAATGATAGATAGATAGATAGATGAATAGATAGATAGATAGATAGATAATGAACAGAAATGAAATAGATATCCAGATAGATAGATAGATAGATAGATAGATAGATAGATAGATAGATAATGAACAGAATGAGACAGATAGATAGATAGATAGATAGATAGATAGATAGATAGATAGATAGATAGATATGAAGATATTGAGATAGAAATGATAGATAGATAGATAGATAGATAGATAGATAGATAGATATGATTTTCCTTGAGATAGATAGATAATAGATAGATAGATAGATAGATTGATGATAGATAGATAGATATGAAGAGGATGAGATAGATAGACAGATAGATAGATAGATAGATAGATAGATAGATAGATAGATAGATAGATAGATGAAGATAGATGAGATAGATAGATAGATAGATAGATAGATAGATAGATAGATAGATTTTTATGAAGAGTCTGAGATAGATAGATAGATAGAGATAGATAGATAGATAGATAGATAGATAGAAAATGAATTTTTGAGATAGATAGATAGATAGATAGATAGATATGAAGAGATGAGAGATAGATAGATAGATAGATAGATAGATAGATAGATAGATAAAAATGAGCAAATAATGAAAAATATTATAATAAACTTAATAAAAAAGAAAATAACATTCATTTATAGACAATAAAATTATTTGTATATATATTTTATAAAATATCTATTAGTAAATATATATATATATATTATAAAATATCTATTAGTATATATATATATATATATATATATATATATATATATATATATATATATATATATATATATATATAATTTGTAATATTCTAGAATAGGGAGTTCCAGTAGAAATGAGAATTTACCATGATGAAAAACTTAATAAAACAGTTTTATCTACAGTCTTTATGCTAATATTATTAAGAGGAAAGACGAAATGATTTTTGGATTATTAAATTACGCTTTTATATCCTTTTTTTTTTAACTTTTTGAAATTTTGTTTAATTTTTGTTGCATAAACGAGGCAGCATAAATTAGTATATATGAATTAGAATTGGAATTTTGTGCTTTTTTTGGCAGTTAAAAACACACATTTGGAAATTCTACCAAAAGATAATTGTCGGATTTCCATGAAAATTTCAGGACTTATCTATCTATCTATCTATCTATCTATCTATCTATCTATCTATCTATCTCGTTGATATCTATCTATCTATCTATCATTTACACTCCTGATATCTATTTTAGTATCTATCTATCTATCAATCGATCTATCTATTCATATATAGAGATTATATATAACTATAGCGGGATGAGATAGATAATGAATAGAAAGTGATAGATATTTTAGAAACGTTTCTTTTTTAGAAAATCTTGCTAAAATATATCTCTTAAAAATCTGCTACCCACCCCCACATACACGCTTATTTAATTTCATGAAATTTCGACAAATTCATTTTTGTAGCCCTTAATTTTATATTAGTCATAAGAATAAGTCCTCGGAGAATTTAAATCATTAAATTTCTTTTGTCAAACTAGATGCCCAGTGACAGAAAATCTGTTATGAATCGTAAAATAAAAAATGCAATTAAACTGAGAGATTATTTAATTAGAAAAGCTTGTAATTGCTTTTACGGATAAAATATATTATGGATATAAAAGAGAATGGTATTTTTTTAAGAAAAATTTTTTCGATGAATAATCAATTTTTCTTTTTGCAAGAACTGTATATTTAAAAAAAATTAATTAGAATAATTTATTAAGTTTTAACTCTTTTAAAATTCGATATTAATTTGTGCCGGTAACGTGATATCGTTATTAAGTAAAAACCATATTTACCAATCATAAATGGAAAAGCTTACTACAATTCATCGACTACCAATACTTTAAAAGGAATTTTAAATTTTGTATGTATGTATGTGTTTTATAAATACAGACGTCCATGTGTGTGTAAACGTGAAAATCTTTTTTGTAAATATGAATGCAAATAGGAAAATAAGATTTGGTTTTTATAGTCAAATTTAAAGCGTCTTTTTGCCTAAAAATTCAATAAATTATTATATTACATATTACATAGAATATTTTTCTAGTTTTTTTAAGATTGCTGCGTAGTTAAAACAATTATATAAAAAGTAGTACACGCTATATTCGACGAGTAATTTTTAAAGTTATGTCAACCATAGAAAAAATTCCAGAACATAATTCTATCGAGAAAATCATCAAAAACCTTATGAAAACACCCACTTCCCTATCTGTCTATATTTCTGAGATGAGGTATTATGGCACACTGGATAAAGGCGTTAGTTAGATTCAGTGACAGGACCCAAAGAGTGTGAGTTCAATACCCGGTTAAGGCAGTGGAGAACTTGGAGAGGAGAATTAACAGGAAATAACTAATAACTGACATCCATTAAACATGGCACGTTGAACTAGAACAGTCTACCCCAGTGAGCGAAATAAAGGTTTTAGTTCGACATTTCAACCACCTGAAGAAGGCCGGAGCGTACAACGGCGCGAAACGTAGTAATAAATATGGCGACAAAGATGAGGACAATAGTCCGAATAATGTAAATAATGTACATAATACCTCATCTCAGAAATATAGACAGATACTGAAAACAAAACGTGGTAATAAATATGGCAACAAAGATGAGGACAATAGTCCGAATAATGTAAATAATGTACATAATACCTCATCTCAGAAATATAGACAGATACTGAAAGGCCGGAACGTGGTAATAAATATGGCAACAAAGATGAGGACAATAGTCCGAATAATGTAAATAGTGTACATAATACCTCATCTCAGAAATATAGACAGATACTGAAAGGCCGAAACGTGGTAATAAATATGGCGATAAAGATGAGGACAATAGTCCGAATAATGGAAATAGTGTACATAATACCTCATCTCAGAAATATAGACAGATACTGAAAGGCCGGAACGTGGTAATAAATATGGCGACAAAGATGAGGACAATAGTCCGAATAATGTAAATAGTACCCACTTCCGTGTTAAAAACTGCTTTCCTGTGATACTTAAAATTAAAGCAATATTTGTTTTAAATCAGGTTAAGCTTTAAACCAACTAATTTTCCTTAAATAAAGTTTCAGAGAAGTATATTATATTTTTGAAATTTGTTTTGATAAAGGGAACCGTATCTTGTATTGACAGATTCGTTAATATGACTGCATTTTAGCAGTGCTAATGATTTTTAAAAACTCATTTCAATCAATTTAAATCCAGTTTGAAATACAGCGATGTACTTTGCTTATTAGAAATATTAAATTTAATCTATTAACTTGAAATTAAAACTAAAATAAAAGCTTCAAGGAAGATTTTTTTCATTTTTAAAAATTAATTTTAAAAGTCAGGTATCGCTTTTTTTGGGGAACCTAATATATATATATATATATATATATATATATATGTGTGTGTGTGTGTGTGTGTGTGTGTGTGTGTGTGTATATATATATATATATATATATATATATATATATATATATATATATATATATATGTAATATAAATTAATTGATTTAAAAATATTTTTTTTCAAACACAGTTCAAAAATATGTTTCAAAAATGGAAAAAAAAAGCCACGAATTTAATTTTGCAATTAAAATTAAAGACATTAGTTCCATTTCATCCTCAAGCGAATTTTGGCTTCCTTTTTTGAAACATGGTTAGAACTGTGTAGCAGAAAAAAATATTTTAAATCAATTAATTTATATTAATGCTCTGTAAATTTACATTGAGCACTATTTTGTAAAATAAAAATATCTATAAGAACACCGGATTATATATCTTACTGTTCTTTCTTTTTTTATTTAAATTCACACACATACACACACACACACACACACACACACACACACACACGATATATATATATATATATATATATATATATATATATATATATATATATATATTATATATATATGACCCTTGGTTTCATTAATTGATTAATTTTTAAATTTTAGATTTATATATAATGGCGGATATCGGTGATACTGGGAGGAAAAATTGTCGTCGGAACGCCACTCATACTTACGCAAACATACATACCTGCACGTTCACTCATATATAAATATATAAATCCAAAATTTAATAATTAATTAGTTTGTCTGTCTATCACAAATAGCGTGACCCCAGGGTCTCAAACTTACATCAATCCAATTATATATATATATATATATATATATATATATATGGGAGGAATATATATGACAAAGTGGAAAAAGTTTTCGTGTGACGCGTTTCGTTCTTTAGGTCGTCATTGGAATAAAGTGATGTTTATGTTGATGTGACTACGCATGGCAGATCTTCTTTTATCACAATGTGGGATTTTTAATAACAAAAGCGACAAAAAAACATAAATAAAAAGAAACTAAATGGAACCGAATAGGCTATATACACATAACACTTATAACAAAAAAGCGGAT